AATGAATTTAGCATCAATGAGTAAATAAAAACTATAATTTTCGTTGCAATCACAGAGTCTTGGAGTGGCCATTTTTGCCCAAATATAGTAACACCTCACTCCTGACATCTTCCGGCAGTGACGGTGCGGTAAGCCTAGCGCCATTCTCCCCGCTTTACAAGCAAAATCAATAAGAACTACTAGACACATCTCCAATCAACAACATTTTAGATTTCCAGAGGGCTTTACCATTGAAATTCTTGAGAGCCATAGTTAAACTGACAATGCCCAAGTGCATGGCAGTTGGATGAAGTAATACATCGGGTAAAAGTGAAAAAAAAAAAATAGTTATTTCACCTCTCTGGTTCATGATCCACCGGGGTTCATCGTCGGATTGCCAACTTGGTAGAGGGAGGATTTGTAATCGAACATCTCGCCAGAGAAAAGCACGTCATATGCAGCCAAGATTTCAAAGAAGAATGTAATCAAGATGACTTAGATAATAGCATGTTGTGACAAACACCAGATACAGCATTAGGACTTGATCAACAGCTGATACCGCACCATGACATCACAAACCGGTAGGTGGCAGTGGAGTTCTTTGTTAATGAAATTACTCTTAATTAAAAACACTTATTTTTTGTACAGTATGTAATAATTTAATATATATAAAATATATATTTTTTTGAGTTTTTGCAGCACTAGTGGCTCCTTTATTCAACAGTAGGCTGACAGGAAAAGGGGTTTGAGAGAGGAGGAGAGACATGCAGCAAAGGACCATAGGCCGGATTCTAACCCAGGTCGGCCACGTCGAGGACTAAGGCATGCATGGGTCGTGCGCACTAACCACTGCGCCAACTGCACGCCCATAATTTCATATTTAAAGTACTTTCAGAAGTTTGAATTCTGAATATGACCGGACTTTTCCTTTAATATCAAGCTGACCGAGCATCATATGTGACAAAACAGCTTGTCAATAGGAGCAACAGAACATTCATGATTTATAAGCCTTGATGTAGCTTAGTGGGTTGAATTAGAAACCCATTATACCCCCTTTGCTTTCAGGGTATGCATCGTGTTTGCAAAATAAAAGGGACATGGTTTTAACTTGAAGCAATTTGAGCAAAAATTAAAAATGTCTGTAGTGGATTTCCTTAAAATTGGTTAAGGTGCTGTAAATACAAGTTGTTGGTATGCCATCTTAGACATGATTTTCTTTTCTTTTTTTTTTTTTCTTTTTATCGAACAATATTTTCCTCTGAATTTCCTCAGACTTAGGTGGGTCTTGTCAGTGCGCATCCTCTGGAGCAGTAAAGTAAACTTTCAGTCGTACCACTGCAGCATACTTGTTTCACCATGCTGAGAAAAGTCATCAAGGTGTGACATTGGTGGGTTGACTTTAACTCCCCCAATTTTAGCAGGTGCAAAGGTGTAAAAAACATGTGTTGATCGAAACACATAAGTGTTCTAATAAAGGAGACTGGTCAACAGAACTCGCTGCCAAACATTGGGTGATTTTAGAAACTCTGTCTGTCTTAATATAATTGTTGAATAGATAAGAAGCCAGCTAGTACCAACAAAATTCTGAAAATATGGGTGTTGAGGGAATGAGACTCAGTTATTTTCAGGTTTAGTAAGTTTTTCTCTTTTTTTATGAGGCAAGAAGATGACCAGAATTATGAAGAACTATTTTATAAGACACTATTTACTTTTTTCTTGCATTTTATTATTTTTAAAAGGAACAAATAATATAAAACAGAACAATTTATAGATAATATGTGGTCAGGGATCATTAATATACATTGTCCATTTTTTCTTTATATTTAGCTTTTTGCAACCTTTTTATAAAAGTGAGTCTTTCCATGCTGTGATTTTCTTCTACGATGTCCAACCAGTTTTTGACTGTTGGGGGTTCTTGTTTGGACCATTAACGTGTGATGGCCTTTTGTGCTGCTGCCAACAGAATTTTGAATAAGTAAAGATCCTTCTTCCGAGTCTCTGCTTCCTTTACATAACTAAATTAATGTCAGTATTGTTCTTGGGATGCTGTACCCTAGTATCTTATCAATTTCTTTGGTCACATCTTCCCAAAATTGGGACAAATTGCAGACACTGCCAGAAGATATGTGCGTGACCCACATTCTGTTCTCCACACATTTTCCAGCAGGGTTGGTTTAAGGATGACATTGCCTTTTTTATCCATCGAGTAATAAAAAACCTGACTTCTTTTTTCCAACAGTAAATTTCCCAATTCCTAGAACTAGTAGTGGTAACCGGCAATTTACAGATATTATACCACATGACATCACTTATGCCCTAATATACAGTGTTGAGGTTTTCCTATTAACTAGTAATCCTTTATACAGTGTTGATACCACTTTGACTTTTGTTGTTATTTAAATCACTTAATATTTGTGTAATTGCGCTCGTTTCAATTGGGAGAACTGGGCTTATTTCTTTTAAAGCTACAGTGTGTAACTTTTAGCGACATTTAGCGGTCAGTAACATGAACATCTCCCCCCCACCGCTTCTCCCCCCGAACAGTACGGCGAGCGTTACGGGACAAAATGTCTTCCACCGCATCACCTACCTTCTCAAGTGATGAGGTTTGTTTACATAGATAATTTTACAGATAGTATTTTATTAGTCTGTGTAGGGTATAGATTTCATGTAGACTTAAGATAATAAATATACCCGTTATTTTTTCTACATCGTTGTGACATTTTGGCCATCTCGCAATCACTAGTTTGTTGGCTCTGCGCTGCTGTAGAGCAAAGATGTCTGCCTCCATGGCTGCGAGACCCGCTCCTATGTAATTATAAATAACGAATTCTAAGGCAATACAAATATTAAGGTTAAGAGGCTGAGCTCGTAGAAGATAAAAGATAAAATAACAGTTATGTATAATATATTACATTTCTGACTGTATATCCCTGTAATTATTACACACTGTAGCTTTAAATATTAGTCCCGTAGTTCAGTGTTGCCCAACCTTTTTTTGACTTGTGTACCCCTTTGATCATTTTTTCTTATAATGAATATCTCTCTCACTCAAAAGTATTGATGATTGTCCTAAAGTGGAATGTACAATAACTGATAATAAAATAAAGACTATATTACTTTATCCTTTAATTTGAGCTTTTAATTATCATTTTATTCTTTCCGTCTTAAATAAAAAAACATCATAAGTATGTTGCCTAGAAGTCAATGAGGAATCGAAATAAATAGAAAATAACATCATTATATAAACCTGTATTTATAAAACTGGAGCTCATCTGAGTAACTACCTTACAATCACATTTGAACTTGATGAATTGGGAACAAAATGCAGAACAAAAAATATAGTCAGACTGACTTCATTAGTTTTACTTTGTTTTCATCAAAACACCTAAACTGTTTTGATGAGCTCTGATAGTTCAGTTTGAGAAACAGCTGATCCCAGGCTGCTTTGTACATCCAGTCTGTTACTCTGCTTGGTTTTGATGTGTGTCAAAGCTGAAGGTGAACTAAAAAAAAGAAGAAAAAAATTTACATTTTGGTTGATATAAGCTTGTTTAATTTTTCAATTGAACCCAGGACTATATATATATATATATATATATATATATATATATATATATATATATATACTATATATATATATAGACTATATTTATTTTACTACCAAAGAAATAAAATATTTTCATGTACCCCTTGGAATGCGCTGGCAGACCCATAGGGGTACGCGTACCCCCAGTTGGGAAACACTGCCGTTACTGAAGGTACATGTAAAAATCTTGATTTTCCTAAGACACTACTTTCAACAGTCCATTTAGACTCCTAGTGAGTGAAAGAGGCTACGGCTATCAGTAGATAATAGGAAGGCTAAATGCATTACAGAAAAGCTGCTTTGTTTTGTCTTTTTGCACCTTTAACCTTTGCTTGAACTGGAGCTTGCTTAAAATGGAAAGGTTTCTGGCCTCGGGGTGAATCTCGGTGTTAATAGAGGATCTGGATACTGTACGGAATACGGCTGGGAAAAAAAAAATTATTTGATTGATTTTGGATCGATTCCTTTACATTTCTGCAAAATCGATGTCTAGGGAATGAGATCGTTTAATTTTATAGTGAAGTGCATGACGTTCATATTCAAATGAGCAGGAAAGATGCTCTCAAGATGACTTCAAGCCAGACAGCTGCAAATATAGCCAATAGGTTGACTAAATACATTAACAAATGGAGGCTGACCAGCAGTAGTTGTTATAGACAACGCTGCACATATGGTTTGTGCAGTGAAGATAATGCAGCTCATGCATGCCTGCTGTGTCCCTGTTGTGTCACGTCTCTCTGCTCGAGTGAGGTTTCGCTTTTTCACTTTTCACAGACAAGTCCCTTTGAGACAGTTTTGTTCACATCTCAAGTTTAAACTGTCTGATTTACAAGTTTGCATTTTGTATTTAATATGACAGGAAAAAAAAATACACGAATATTTTGAAACACAGTTGAACCACTTTCATTATTGTAAAAACAGATTGAATCCAAATTAATTGATTTAGAACTGTATTAATCAAAATCAAATCGATTTAGGACTTTGGCGAAAATACCTAGCCCTAGTAGTGAACACAAGGAGGGTCTTTCTTACTCATTCTAGCCATGCTAATATGAGAAGATGGACTGATTCTAAATAATCAACCTCTTTACTAATCTATAACTCTACTTTATAGTTATAGTAAAACGTTGCTTTATACCTTATGACCTCCTACACAGAGTGTGATATCACCCCTTCTTTGTCCTGTTAATGGCAGGAAGGCAGGATTTCTTTTCTTAGATTTTATTTAAAAATCAGTGAAATCAGTCTTGGTACATTTTATCTTTTCAAATCTGATGATTGGAAATCAACCAAAAAACTCAGACTGGTTTGTTTTGTGGCAGTAATTTGGTATGGCTGGTTATTTGATGCTTTATTACATTCTTTTTGTTTGTTTTGAAAAAGTTTCACCCTTTTTTTAAAGTGTTTTTTCTCTCTTTTCTTTTTTTCTTAGGGATTTAAGTCTCTGCACTGTAACCATTTGGGCCACTCTGACTTAAAGGCTGTCCTACTCATGGCTCCTTCCACCTGACAGAATGGCCCAGACACATAATGGTAATGGGTTCAAGATGGATGTCCCAAAGCCAAAGGGGGTTGTGGGTAAGGAGGAAGCCCTCCGCATGGAAGAAGAGGCATTGGCTAAATTGAAACGAGAGAAAAAACATACGCCTTCACTTTTAACCCACTTGTCTGCCTCAAAACCATCAAAGTCCAGCAATGCCAATGCTGCTCAGACTTTGCCTTCAGCAAGTGCACCTGACAAGGACCTCATTGTCTTCCCAGAAACCAAGAAGCAGGAAGAGGGGGGCAAGTTTAAAGATATTGACGTGGACAAACTGACCAATGAGGAGCTCGAAAAGCTTCTTCTCGATGAAAACTTTGGCGTTAACAGCAAAGCATCCCGCCCCTCAGCTCTGCTGGGATTCAACCTCAGTGCCTCCTACCCTGGTGGTAACCCCTGCAGCTCCTCTCCTTTCCAGGGCAGTCAGTGGACCACAGTTCTTCCCACTCAATCTAATTCTAGCTTGAGCACTCCAACTCATCAACCCAGCCCACTCTTCCCTTCTGCTCCATTTCCCAAACCAGGCACATTTCAAAATGGTTTCACTCCACCCATGACGTCCTTCATGACTCTTCCACCTCAGCAGCCATCCTTTTTGGCTTTACCTCCTATCCAGGCTCCTCCAGCGATGGTCTACTCAAAACCAACCGTGGACCCTGAAATGGCCAAACTGTTTGACAAGATTTTAAGCACCTCAGAATACTTGAAGAACGGTAGATCCTCCAGCACTGAGGCAGACTCTTCACAAGTGGGCACAGCCTCTCTGGCACCAAACCCCCCGCCACAGCCCACAGCAGCTGCTGAATCTTCTCCCATCAGCCGCTTTGAGTGGCTGGATCTGGACCCACTTACAAAACATAAAGCTGAGAATGAGGAAGCCACCATGACGGCAGGAAGTGGAGTACACAACGAACAGGGGGGTTCTCCTGGGGATCCTTGGGATGCTGTGCTAGAAACAGAAGGGAGCAATGTTGGTGGCAAAGGGAGCCCCACTCTGGAGGGGAATGATTCACAGACAGTTCATTCACAGCAAAGAAGAGCTTCAACCGGCGCACCTGTAGCCAGGAGCCACTCGCTCCACATCCCAGGGACGTCTTCTCAGCAGAAACCAACCAATCAGGTAAGGCTGCTGTTGGATTATGATACTGGAAAAGACTTATGGGTGATCTTAGAAGTCTAGACGCACACTTTAAGATACGACCATCCACAATAGAGTTTAGATAAAAACATCAATTTTCCTGTTTAATTTAGTTCTTGAATCTGGCTTCATCTTTTGCTATTTTTAGTAGCCTGTAGGGAACTAACAGTTTACCTAAGGTTGTTGGATTTTTTTTTTCTGTTTCCATTTCCACCATTTCCCAATCCTGTTCCAAAGCACCTCTTTAACATGAGGCCTCCAACAGCATGTTTCACTTTGGGTGTGTTTCGTCATGGGAAAAAAGTATTAAACTATTCTCTCCAGTTAAATAAAAGGAGATTGATGGGTTTCACTCAGTCGGCAATTTTATTTATCTTTGCAAAGAGAGAACAGTTCATCATACAGCTCTTATTGCATGGTAATCATCCCTGTTCTGATCTGGCAGCATTCGTTCCCCTTACTGACAATAATGGAAAGTAGTCAAAGTCAAAACAAGTTACAGACACTTTGGTTAAACAGTAACATGTTATGAATAAACTTGAGAAAGAATCGGGCTTGTTACGGGAAGAAGTATGTCTTGTCTACAAACGCCCCTCACTCAGCATTGTGTGGACTTGCAAGTTAAACATTTTTCAGCATTGTGTGAAAAACATTTTTCAGTGAGTAAATAGCATAAAGCGATATATAAAACAAGAGAAATCTAAATTTTCCGTGGACAGTTGTCATCTTTTTGACGCTCCACCTGATTATTATGTCAAACCAATATTTTGGAATAAGCGTTGTGGAGGTTTAGTTCTGTCCAATTAATACGCCATCTTTCTTAGGTCTCGGGATGTTCTAAGCAGATCTGGATGTCTCTCGGAGAAAAGGTCTCCTCCAGCTGTACTTCCTGTTTAAGATAATACAGGAAATGATACTGACCTATGGAAGACTATCACTGCAGGTCTTTCAACTTCCTCAGCAGTTTTTGTGGTTTTATTAATTCAGGACAAATATTCAGTTTTTGTAATTTCACCCTTGCTTAAAATTGTTGGAAGAAGCTCCAGAAATTTCTGTGCTTCTCCCGACTGCAACCTTTGGGCATTTTTAACCTCCTCAAAATTAGTCTTTAGTTAAAATATTCAGTTTAATACATTTTAGGATATTCCTGCTAGGACAATTAAACTGTATTCCATAGTTAGCATGACTGAAATACGGCCGAAATATGTTATTTGTAACATTTATGTTACTTCAATTTCGTTGTCAGCTTGTTGAACATGTAAAAATAAACTGGATTCATGTGGACTAAAACTTAGGGAGATGTACGGCATCTGTTTTAGCTGACTAAATGACATTTAAAACCACTGAAACTGAAACTTCCCATCAGTCAAACAGAAGGCTTTGTTAGTGAATATCATCAGGATCAGCTGAGCGTGGTTTTCCCGGGTTCATTTTCAAACAACAGTAGACTTGCAAATGCTGTCTTTAACGTTGCTGCACAACCTTTAGCCTTTCACGAATTCCCAGTTTGCATTGGAGGTAGGGAATCTACACCAATGTAATGAAGGCTTTATTGACATCGTCCACATGGAAAGGGACATAACTCGAATAAATATGATAACGTCACACATAATAGTCTGTTCATTGTTCTTATCTGGCAACACATTAAACAATATAGACTTAGACAAACTGTATTGAAGTTTCATTTCTACAGCTTTCCGACAGTGAATGAGAAGCAGCTTGGCAGTAAAAAAGAACATTTCCATTCATAAAGTGCAACAGTGATCAAATGTAAACAGTGTGGGAGAAGACATGGTGCAAAAAGGCATTGATGTGGAAGGTTCAGAGCAGTGCAAAGATAAATAAATAGATATGGTGCAAAATGCAGTAGAAAACATCGGAATGCAAGTATGATGTTATCAGTGTGATGCAGAATCTCAGTTTTTCAACAGTTCAGCAGTCTGATGGCAGTGGGGAAAATGCTGTTGCAGAATCTGCTGGTCCTGCATTGAATGCTGTGAAGCCTCTTCCCAGAGGGCAGCAGGGAGAACAGTCCATGGTGGAGGTGTGAGGGGTCATTGATTATGTTATGGGCTCAGGATACACAGCGCTGGGATTAAATGTCTTTTATGAAGAGGAGCCCCAATGATCAGTTCAGTTTAATAATAATAATTGAACTTTATTGATCCCACATTGGAGAAATATATCTTTGCATTCAATCCATCCCCTTAGGGAGCAGTGGGCTACCATTGTGTGGCACCCAAGGAACAGTTTGGGGTTAAGGGTCTTGCTCAGAGACCCAGAGTGAAGGTCTGTGGGAGTGGGGCTTGAACTTAGAACCTGAGGATCAAAGGTCTATGGCTCCCAACATTGGACCGCCACTCCCCACTTTATTTTCATAGCAACAATTATTCAAATAATAAAGTACATTAAAATTTTGATTTAGTGAAATTATTCAGTTCAGAAAGATTGGTTTTAAGTTTTTGTGTCTATGGAAATCCAACAGATTAGTCATTGACCTGCAGCATTCACTCCTCTATGAGCATGTAGCTACAGTGGATGGTCTCTTGCCATGTGCAGTTGACTTTGCAGCAATCTCTTATGCCGGGCGTGCATAAAGTGAAAGTGAGAAGGGAAAACTTTACTTCAACAGGAAGAAACCTGCAGCAGAACCATGCTCATTTGACACATTAAGGTGGACAGAAGCAATGATCTAGCATTACTCTATGTGTGAGAGACAATAAAAAAGTTAGTGGCATTAGTCGCTACCTTTCCTCTAGAAGAGAAACGGATCAGCTCTGAGCCAGTTTAAAATAGCTACTCAGCTAAAACAGAATATTTTAGTTCGCATCAAGTGTGTTTGCCTGCCTCAGTGAGCTGATAATAGTCTTATCATGTTTTCACAACCCATCCTTCAGGCATATGTGCAAATAAGAAGGTAAATGTTTTCAAAGTTGTAGGGAAACGGCCATTCCAACCGTTTCTCACAAATTATCCCGAGTAGTGCACGACTTCACATGAGTGAATAAAGTAAATTTGATTTGTTGTTTATAAAGAGGGCCGGATTGTTGTGGCGGAAGGTTCGCAAGCAAGTTTGATTGTGGCCGGTTTCTCAGATGTTGGGCCTCTGACTGGACCGGGCATTCAAACCAAGCCATCAGCTCCTGGGCTGGTGCTGAAACCCCGGGGGACAGGGATATGTTCCTTTTGGTAGAATTTCCCCCGAACATTTTTTTAGGTGTGAAAAGTAGGACATGTCCGGGAAAAAGAGGACGTCTGGTCCCCCTACCATTTCAACAATTTGATGTTTCAGTGAGCGAGTGCTTGTTGCTATGATGCGTCTTTGCTCAGCAGCTTCACTCGTTGCAAACCAACCAATCAGTGCACAGCTCAACTAAATATTCATGAGCATACCATAAAGGAAGAAGCCCTGTCGTTTCATTCTAGGGCTTTTAACCAGGCTTGCATTAGGGCTCATAGAACAGCAAATATCCCAATAATATAGACCTTAAGGACCAGCACCAAATACCCTATAGAATCATTCTATGACCCCTTTTAAGATAAAAAAATAAATAAATCTTGGTCGTATGTCAATATGCTCTATTCAGCCTTTCATGAAAAAAGTTTTAGTTTCGCCTGCTTTGATTTGCCAAAAAGTCTTTTTTAAGGAAGCTTTGGCTATTACATTATTAATCGATTAAACGAAAAAAGAATTAACAGATCAATAATTTTTCAAAATAACCATTCGTTCCATCCCTAAGATAATATCAACCCTCAGAAAGCACAGGATACTAGGATACTTGAACAACTTCTTTGCACCTGATGAGCTCTTTTGTTTTGAGAGGTTGTCCTTATTTGTCATAATAGTTACTTCCTGCTCCTCTTTTTTGAAGATTTTTCCTGAGCAAATTTGATTATTTAGAACTTTTTCAAGATAGAATTTCTGACAGTTGCAGTAAATAAAATGTTGTGATTTTTTCTACTTTTAGATATAGGTCTTTACAGTCCGAATTTGCAGTTCGGATGCTGACGTCTCTGTGATACTCTAGTAGAGGATTCTGTAGTTGTAGTTCCCCCCCCCCCCCTCCTATCAAAGGCAGCTTGTTCCTTGTTTTTACCCCAGTGAGTGTTCCAGGGTTGAGGAATGTCTTTATGTTTGAAATGATAAAAAGGTGCTTGTTTACTCTTGCCCATATGTTATGTCTAACTTTGAATGTGTTTGTTAGTTGAACCACTGATGTTGTGCTGTTTGGGCCGTTTTAACTCTAGGCTCACTATTTCAGTCTCCTTGGGTCAGGTTTGGGAGGTCACTCAGCGCTGTGTGAGTTTGCTAGCTTCCCTTGTTCCTTCTTCTGGTGCCCTGAGTTGTTATAAACAGGAACAAGCCTGTACAAGTCCCCTGTGCCCCAGAACAGTACTCGAATAGCCTAACAAATCAACCTTATGTTTTCCTATGGTGACCCTTCTCCGTTCATTTGCTGGATCTCAGAGGATTAAAAAAAAAAAAAAAAAGTAAAAATAAATTAGCTTTAGTTACTTGATGTCTCATGTAAATATTGCCACGTTTATCTAATTTAAGTATATATATTTTTGTGCTGTGTAACAGTGAATTTCTGTGGCAGTAACATAAAAGAAGAGGAACAAGGCTACAGAAATGTTCTCACCACATCCTCATTTATATTTTCTTGATTTAATTTTTAGACGATTTTTATGAGGTTTTCCATGTACAACCCTGTACCGTAGCTCACCACAGATATACACCTGAAAGTGCGCATGCGAAGAAAAAAGATAGCTACCTAGGGATGAGCACGTAGGACGGCCTTACGCATGACATTGTGGATCGATATACACATGCACTGCACTGATGTGTGTATCGATCAAAAAAATAAAAAATGAAGATATTTGCTTAAAAACATCGTCCAGGCGACAAGTTGGTCTGTCTCTATTCTAAATGTGTGTATGTATGTAT